TTCCAGTGAGAGAAGACTGAGTTCTTGATTTGAATCCACCCACCTTTTTTAGTATCTTGGTTACATTTTTTTTTCCCTGAAACTCAGTTTCTTCTCTGTAAAATAGAGATAACCTATTCTACCTATTTCAATATGAAGTCACAACAAAATATTACTCAGGATTCTTTTTGTTGCATGTGACAAATGTCAACTCACACTGGCAAATGGCAAAAGATACTTGATGGCAGCAGCAGGATTATGGGAAGTTATTCATATGAAGATTGAACAATCAAATCAGTTCATAAAGGTGGATTTCGGAGACCTCTGGAATCAGACACTTAAATGCTACCAAGACCTTCTTTGTACCTCTCATTCCTGTTCATTCTTTAGGTCAACTTCATTCTTTCTTAAAATAGATCAGTGACCCATAGCTCCAGTTTCCCAGACCTCACAATGAACGTACAACCCGGCCAAGGAACCAAGATTCCCCTCTCTGGTCGCAAGCTCAAAAATCCTACAAATGGAACTGGTTGGCTAATCTTGGGCCAGGTATCTGTCACTGAACTCATCAACTGCAGCCATAAGTTTGGGTATTACAACTGGCCCAGACTAGATCAAGTGCCTATCTTCAAGCCAACCAAGACAATGTAGGAAGGACAGCTTTAAAAAGATGGCGGCTCCCACTAAATTCACATAATTTAGAGAAAGTGCACTTCCCAAAAAAAGATGCAGAAAGATGTTTTCTTGCACAAACAAAAAAAAAAAAGAAAGAAAGAAAGAAAGAAAGGATTTTTTTTTCCTTTGGGTAGGAAAAAACAGTAGAGAATTATTATAAAGATTTTAGAATATCTGGATTATTAGACACACACATGGTTTTCAAGTCAATCAAGACTTCAAGATTCTTATCAAGTACTACTTACTCCAAGAAGCTTTTCCTCATAATTAGTGTCAATTACATAACCTTTCCCTCATTGGCCTGCTCATTATGTTTATGTGATATATACCTCCCAGTCCACTGTATTTAATTTTTCATTTGCATACATACTACATTAAGCTGCTGTCTAAAAAATTGGCTATTTTAAATTTTGTCTTCTCCACTTCATTGTTCCCTGATAATAGAAACTGTTTCTTGTTGATGTAGTCATAATGATAGGTGTTAACTTATTATTGCTCCAAGGAAAGAGATTTATATTTTAACTGGGGTCTACCACAGGCAATGTCTTAGCCCAAAGGAGTGATCGCAATGCTGGGAATGTTAAACAGGATGTCTTGGACAGTCCACACTAGGGATCAAATGCTATGAAATAAAATATAAATCCCACCATACTGCTACTGGTATCATCATGAGCATCACTGACCTCATCAACTTTGGTCTGTTGATAAACTTACGGCAGTTATGCATTCAGGATGTATTATCTGGAGGGGGGAGGGGTAGAGAGCATTGCACTGTAGTTAAGACCATAGACTATGGAGCCAAGCAGACCTGAATCTGGTCTAAACTCTGCCACTCAGTTATGTGACTAAAGTCACATTACTTCACACCTCTGTACATCAGTCTCCTCTTGGGTATAATAATCATACCTACCTCAGGGTGCTGTTTTGAGGGTGAAATAAGATGTCTGAAGCCCTTAGTATTACACCTAATATACAGAAAGTGCTCAACAAATGGTGGCCATGTGTTAAAGTTCTAATTCAAATAACGCATGTGTCCCATTCCCCCGTAATCCACACAGTGAAACTTTTGTCAGAGAATTCTACAATTATAGCTAAACCCTGTTTGGGAAGGGCTACAAAATCACAATTCAAACATATTGTGATATACATTCTGTAAAATCTTCTTCCAGGGCCTAGGACCACAAGAGCCTTATAAAACTTTATTAAATTTATTAATGTTGTTTAATTAAGACTCCTGACAAAGTCTCACACACAGACGTACATAATTAACACAATGGCCCCTGGACCCAACCACTGGAGAGTATCATGGACAACAGTAGGCTCTCCATGGACAAGAAACTAACCTTTCCTAGATTGAACTACTGAAAACCTGAGGTGGTTTGGTTCTGTTCTGTTGACTTGTTTCTGGACATTTCCTTTTTGCCCATTATCATTTAGTGCCCTGTACCCCTCCCCCACCCAGGTGGTTGTTTTATTGGACACAGGCTAACTTGATTAATAAAGGGCTTCTGCGCCTTTTTCCCCCAGCGCCCAATTAAAACTGCCCTCCCAGAGCTTCCTTTCTTCATGTTCCAGATATTTTCTTAAAGACATTTTTAAAATTTATTTTTAGAGAGAAGGGAAAGGAGGGTGAAAGAGAGGAAGAGAAACATAGATGTGTAAGAGAAACATTGTGTAGACTTTTGCACACCCCCAACCAGGACCTGGCCCCCAGCCCAGGCCAACACTCAATCCACTGAGCCACACCAGCCTGGGCTCATGCCCCAGATGTTGACTTGCTGCTTTCTCCATGGCAACACACCTCTCCTATATCCCATGACTTCAGTGCAATGAATTTCATCCTAAGTCCTGCTGACATGATAATGGCTAGGATGTGCAAAAGCGTTATCCTTTCCAGGAAAAATACTTACGTTTCAACTAGAGCCAAACGTGCCAAAATATCTTATCCCAAAGAAGTAAATTCTTAACACTATGGAAGTCCAAAGAGAAAGGAATTTGGGGCATGTAAGGCATTTTTTGACCATAGTATTTAAAATGTCTCATTATTGCCCTGGCTGGTGTGGCTCAGTGGACTGAGCGCCAGCTGTGAACCTAAAGGTCGCTCGCTTGCTTCCCTGTCATGGCACATGCTAGGACTGTGGGCCAGGCTCCCAGCTGTGGGTGTGCAAGAGGCAACCGATCCATGTTCCTTTCACACACTGATGTTCCTCTCCCTCTCTTTCTCTCCCCTTTCCCCTTTCTCTAAAAGTAAATAAAATCTTTTTTAAAAATGTCTCATTTTTTATACTTCATAAAAAACTTTTGTATTCAGTAACTAGGGGGCAATAATTATCCCCATTATACAAATAAAGGGAACTGGGGCTTAGAAAGTTCGATGTGACTGCTCAAGATCCTATGGCTGATAAATGATGGATTCAGAAATATTTCGTCTAGACCTCCTGGTTCCGAGCAGAGTCCATTTATTCGGTGAATATTTTTAGATTATCTACTATATAGCACATACTGTTCTAGGCTTTGGAGATACAGGGGTAAATAAAGGTAGAAGAAAACTTGTTGCTCTCATTGGAGATTACATTCTAGAGAGGAAAGAAGAGGAAAGCAAATAATAAACAAATAAACTTATTTTGTGTCAGTTGGCAAGAAGCATAATGGAGGAAAATAAATCAGGGTGAAGGGGACAGAGTGTGCTAGAGGGTGCTAGTTTACATAGGGTAGTCATAGAAGGCCTTTATGAAATAGTGCATTTCAACAGAGACCTGAATGAAGAAAGGGAGCAAGCTGTGTGTCTATTTGAAGTATAAACTTTCCAGGTAAAAGGGGCAGAAAGCGCAAAGGCCCTGAGACGAGAGTATGTATGTTGTTTCTGAAAAACAGCAAGGGGACCGCTGTGGCTGGAGCAAGATGAGACAGAACTGAGTAGCAGGAGATGAGGCCAACAAGAGAGTAGGGGCAGCTACGAAGAGGACACCGAGCTATGAAGTGCAAAACCAGGACTAGAATTCGGTCTGCAGAGAGCTAGGCCAGCACCTCCTATGTGCGCTGTTGCGTCCAAAATCTCCTGACTCAGAAAGCAGGAACACAGGCTGCCCAGCTCCTGCGCTAACTCGCACCCTGCAGGGCCCTCGGTGGGGCTGCTTGTCCTTTAGCTTACTGCTACTGGGGTAAACCAGTCTTACTGGAGGTTATGGTCTCTTTAATGGAGACCAACGGGTCATCCTGAGGAGGCATGGTGGGGAGAGAAGATGGTACCTGGACATCACTAGTTCCAAACACCCTGGTCTACGGTGCCCCAAATCCAGTCCTATATACGTCTGCCAATTAGCCCTCCCTGTAGTGAGGATTATCTCCTTCCAATTTTCTCTCCTCCATTTTTTCAGCAAACCAAACTTAAAAAAGCTCCATCATTTGATTCCCAGGGTAAACTCACTGAGAAAATGATGACGTGGAATAACTATTCCCATTTTATTGTTGAGAAGACTGGACCCACATGAGGTCAGAAATTGTAGAGCTAAGTAAGGACCTAAAGAGAGTTTCCCAACGTTCACTCAGTGCCCGTTTAGTCTTTGCCATATTCAATTACCACCTACGCTCCTCTATGTTTTTTTAATGGGCACTTAGTATTTTTACTTAAGGAAATTTTACTTCATTACCTTAAATAGAAAACCAGTATCACTCACCACACATAGATTAAGAAATATAATATAAAACAGTGTTAACTAGAAAACAATGTTAGTATTTTTACTTAAGGAAATTTTACTTAATTACCTTAAATAGAAAACCAGTATCACTCACCACACATAGATTAAGAAATATAATATAAAACAGTGTTAACTAGAAAACAAGTCACAATGCCCAGGCCACACCCACCCCAGACCTATTAAATGCGAATTCCTCAGAGCATGGGGGAGACCAGACAGAAGTAATTTCCTTAGAGCCCTCCGCCGGAAAGGGCAGTGCGAGCCCAGGAGGAGACCCTCTAGAACAGATGCTCCTGCCTGCCACAGCCTCTGCGCCCAAGGTGACCTCTCAGAAAGAGAGGTCCACAAGTGATGGCAAGGTGTTAAAGGCACACTAGCCCAACACTGAGCATTTCCCCTTGCTGGTAACAGAGGAACCAAAAAAATAACACTGAAATAGGGAAGCGTTCTCAATTTTAATTTGTTAACTGTTTAATGCGTTATTCCTTTACAGAGTAAAATCACCACACATGGTACTTGCCCTATGGAAAACACTGGACCGGACGACCCAAGTGGTCTGGTTTCTATTCCTGTACATTTTCCACTCCAATAGCCCTCTTCCCAGCCAAAGACTCCACAGAGGTAATTTTCTGGAGAACCCTTACTCACCTCTAGCAGGGACTTCAAATGCCTGCAATTACATCACACTTTGCGGCCCATCTTTCTCTTTCCAAATGAATCTATCCAGTGGTTCGTATCAGAAAATCTTAAGGCAAAACCACATCTGTCTCCTTTCATTTCCTCTTGAGAAGCCCCTCATTCTCACCCAGGAGTATCTGGCCCTGGAGGGAGCGCCAGGCAGCTGGGCAGCTGGGCAGCTGGGCAGGAAGGAAGCTCGGGAGGGACAGTGCAGAGGCCACATGACTTGCAGAGGGGCTTCTGCTGTTTGGTTTCTCGTTCCCCTCTCATCTCGGGGCACACACAAATGCCCGCTGACAGCCTTTCCCAACTGAGGGAGAAGTCTAGAATGATAGCTGGATTTCTGAATAGAGACTCCTGATCTCCAAGACCCCGCTTCCCCTCCTGGCTTGGAGCATCATCACGGGATCTGGGTGCCTGCCTGCGTGGACTCGGGTTTGAAGGGCTCCCCCCGAGGACAGCATGTCCTCAAGAGTAAGCACTCTGGTTCACCACACGGAGTGTTGACCAAAGCTCCAATCTCCTCGCTTCCTATATTTAAAACCTTGAATGCTGACACAGTCTATGGCCAGACAGCCAGGCCATTTTCCTGTCTTGTCAGCGGAACCCTTCTCTTCTGTTTCCCTTAGAGGCTAAGATCCAGCTTCGAGGCCTTGCCCATATGCACCATCCCAAAGCTGCACAGCTCCTGCTATGCCCATGGTCTAAAATGCCCTCTCTCCCATCCCCACCTGCCCAAAGCCTATGCACCCTCAAGGCTGACTGCAAATGTCGCCTCCTCCATGAAACCTAAGATGAGTCCTCTAAACAAATCGTAATAGTAATGGAAGTAATAGTAACATAATTAATATTAACAGTTAGCATTTATTGAGTGCTTGCTATAGAAAGACACCAAGCTCAGGGCTCACAAGCATGACCTGGACCAAGTCATACACTAAACAGTACCTCATTATCCCTGCCTTGCCATCGCCTGTCTCTATGACATGGGTCAAGTTACTTTTTCTTTCTGTACTTCATTTTCCTCAGACATCAATGGGGATTATAATATACCTTCCTCCTAAGGTTGTAAGGATAAAATAATTTAAAGCACATACAGCATACAGCATAGTACCTGGCACACGGTTTTTGCTCAGTAAGTAGTATTTTTTCCTTGTAAGAAATTTACAAGAATAATAACATGTTAGTATTATGCTTGTTTTACAGATGAGGAAACCAAGGCACAGAGTTTGGGGTAAATAGTCCATGTTCAGTGAAGAACTTCAGTCCGGTCTTAACTGAGCTTTGCTTATGGTGCTCAACTATTCTCAACAGTTATCTGTGTATGTGCTGTCATCTTTGCATCTTCATCCTCCACTTTTCCCTCAGTGGACGCTAAACTCTAGGGGAGAAGGGCTCATCAGTGTCTCCTGGACACTCAGCCCCTGCATCTTCTTACCTCGTTGCCAGATCCCAGACTGTCTCTCTTCTCCTTATCACAATATAGCCTCCTCCTTCAAATTCGCTGAGACTGTTTCCTCCTTCAGGTAATCTGCTTTCAGTCTCCCACGTGGGTGTGGTCTCTCTGTCCCTTAAGTCCCCTCCCCCCCGCCCCGGCACTTCATTTGGACTGTGAGCACTTCTTCCATCCTGTCCTGTTTAACAGCCATCTGAGCACTTGCTTTATTTCCCCTGCTAAACTGTAAACTCCTATGAAAAGAGATTTCCTCTCAACCAAATAATGTACTAGGCAGTCCATGAAAGTGTGACTGATGGATGGATGAATGAATGAATAAATGCACTTGTTTCAATATTTCCTTGGAGAGGATTCCTGGCTTCCTGGATGTGTTTGGTATCTGCACTGCACTGAAAGCTCTTTTGTCCCAAGCTCTTTGCAGAGAAGATAAATTGTTCATTCATCATAGTTTTCATGCGGATCAAGGAAGCTATCAAGAGAAGGCATATTCCCTATGACTCTTAGTGTGTAATTCTGAGGTATATTACACTTTGGCAAGCATTATGCACCCTTTCCAGAAGTTGCTATCAGTTAGCATGGTCAAATTCAACCCTCAAGCACGTTTATTCTAGTGATTAAAAAACAATATTGTTTTTTAAAATGAAATTGGAGGTATAGCCACTTTGGAAGGCAGTTTGACAGTTTCTTTCAAAACTATATGTACTCTTACCATACAATCCAGCAGTCAAGCTCCTTGGTATTTACCCAAAGGAGTTGAAAACTTATGTCCATACAAGAACCTGCACATGGCAGTTTAACACAACTTTATTCATAATTGCTAAAACTTGGAAGCAATCAAGATGTTCTTTAGTAGGTGAACAGACAAATAACTTGCACTATATTCAGACAAAGGAATGATATTCAGCAGTAAAAATAAAATGAGCTACCAAGTCATGAAAAGACACAGAGAAACCTTAAATGCTTATTACTAAGTGAAAGAGGCCAATCTAAAAAGGCTACACATACAGTGTGATTCTAACTCCATGCCATTCTGGAAAAGGCAAAATTATGAAGAAAGTAAACAGGTCAGTGGTTGCCAGGGGTGGAGAGGAGAGACGGGGGAGGGATGAACAGGCAGAGTACAGAGGATTTTAAGGGCAGCAAAAATACTCTGTATAACACAACAATGGATATATTTCATCGCATACATTTGTCCAAACCCACAGAACACACAACACTGAATATAAGCCCTAGTGTAAACTGTGGACTGAGTGATAATGGTGTGTCCAAGTAGGTTAATCAATTGTGGAAACGTACCACTCCAGGGGCAGATGATAAGGAGTGGGACTGTGCATGTGCGAGGATAGGGAGTATAAGGGAAATCTTTGTGCTTTCCTCCTCATTTTGCGGTGAACCTTGAACTGCTAAAAAAATAAATAAATTAAGTCTTAATTTTCAAAAATTGAACTTAAATGCATTTGAGATGGAACATGACCACCGCAGTATTCTATTTTTTGATAGATTTTATTAATTTGCTACTCCAGTTGTCCCACTTCTTCCCCCTTTGCCCCCCTCCACCCAGTACCCTCCTTCCCTCCAGCGATCCCCCCCTTAGTTCATATCCATGGGTTGTGCATGTAAGTTCTTTGGATTCTCTATTTCTTATGCTGCTCTTAACACCCCTATTTTGTACCTACCAATTATGCTTCTGATTCTCTGCACCTTTCCCCGCTTCCTCTCCCTTCTCCCTCCCAGCTGGTAACCCTCCAAATGACCTCCATACCTATGATTCTGTTCCTGCTCTGGTTGTTTGCTTAGTTTGTTTTTGGGTTTTTCTGTTTGTTTGTTTTATTTTGTTTTTAGATTCAGTTGTTGATAATTGTGAATTTGTTGCCTTTTCTATGTTCACAGTTTTGATCTTTTTTTTTTTCCTTAAGTAAGTCCCTTGAACACTTCATGTAATGATGGCTTGGTGATGATGAAATCCTTTAGCTTTACCTTGTCTGGGAAGCACATTCTCTGTCCTTCCATTTTAAATAATGCCTTTGCTGAATAGAGTAATCTAGGTTGTATGTCTTCCTTTTCATCACTTTGAATACTTCTTGCCAGTCCCTCCTTGCCTGCAAAGTTTCTTTTGAGGTATCAGCTGACAGTCTTATGGGTACTCCTTTGTAGGTAACTCTCTGCTTTTCTCTTGCTGTTTTTAGGATTCTCTCTTTATTTTTAACTTTTGGCATTTTAATTACGATGTGTCTTGATGTGGTCCTCCTTTGGTCCAACTTGGTTGGGACTCTCTGAGCTCCTGGACTTGTATGTCTATTTCCTTTGCCAAATTAGGAAGTTTTCTTTCATTATTTTTCAGATAAGTTTTCAATTTCTTGCTCTTCTTCTTCTCCTTTTGGCATCCTTATAATTCAGATGTTTGCATGCTTGGAGGTGTCCAGAGTCTTCTTATGCTATCCTCATTTTTTTTGAATTCTTGTTTCTTCTTTCGGTTCTGGTTGAATGTTTATTTTTTTTCCTTATATTCCAATTTGGCTTCCTTCCCTTCACTGTTGGTTCCCCGTAGATTTTTCTTTATTTCACTTAGTGTAAACTTCATCTCTTTCTTTATGTTGTTGCAATACTCAGTGAGTTCTTTGTGCATCCTAATCACCCGTGTTTTGAACTCTGCACGTGATAGGTTGGTTATCTCCATTTTGTTTAGTTCCTTTTCTGGGGTTTTGTTCTATTCTTTCAGTTGGGCCATATTTCTTTGTCTCCTCATTTTGGCAGCCTCCCTGTGTTTGTTTCTGTGTATTAGGTAGAGCAGCTCTGACTCCCTGTAAAAGGCACCTGTAAATAGTATGGGACGGAGACTCAGGTAATTGCCAGGGTGGGGCAACCCACTTCACCGCTTTGTGCCTCTGTGTGGGGGGAGGGCTCTCAGAGGGGACTGTGCTGCTGCCTGGCTTCTGGGGGGTTGTCCAGCACTTGTCCCATTTCCAGTCACTTCACCCACTTTCTGTATGTGACTGGTGCCCTTCCAGCTGTTGCCCTGATGTTAAATCCCAGAGTGGGTGGGTTTACATATGTTCTAAGTCCATGTGGGCCCTTTAAACGAAGTTTCTGAAAATCCAGCAGTTTCTTCTGCCACCCCAACCTTCACTGGTTTGTACAGCCAGAAGTTATGGGGATTTATCTTCCCAGGACTAGAACCCTGAGCTGTGCAATCTGGCCTGGGACTGGGATTGCTCACTTTCAAAGTATCCCTCCCAATTTTTATCCACAACATGTGAATGTAGGACCCTCCCCATCCCTGTTCCACCACCGCCTCTCTGCACCACACTGCATCTCCTCGCCTCTCTGACCCATCTCCATGTCTCCACCCCTTCTACCCGTCCAGATGAATGTAGCTTCTTTAAATCCTTGGTTGTTGGATTTCCATACAGTTCAATTTTCTGACAGTCCTGGGTGTCATTGTTTTGAGATTCAATTGTAATTCCTTTCTGTGGTTGTTCAAGGAGACAAAGCGTGTCTACTTACGCCTCCACCTTGACTAGAAGTCCTCCCTAGTATTCTGATGTCTCCAATCCCACCAAGAATCATATACATGGCATTCTTTGCTCCTTTAACTTTCCATCCATGCAAGTTTAGCATAATAAAGGGTCTTTACATCAAGCCTTTGCTCTAGAAAGTT